CTTATTGTCGTGCAAAACTTGCTTGGCGTGTTGGAGCTCGGCGGCCAGGTGTTTACTGTCACAGATCCCTCGTGCTCTCTGAAACAAAGATTTATCCACGGTAGCTAACTGTAAAGGATGGTGATGAGAATCACTGTTTAAATATCTATCTGTATGGCTCTTTTTTCTATACACAGTGTGGCTCAAGGTGTTATCTGGATGCCGAATTACTAACACATCTAGAAAAGCTAAAGAATTGTTTGCCTCTAACTCCATTGTGAGCTGAATTTTAGAATTTAAGGAGTTAAGATGGTCTAAAAATGCAATTACTCTATCTAAATGTAGAATTGTGAAAGTGTTGTCTATGTACCGCTTGCAGAATCTTGGATTTACGGGATAAGTAAGCAGGGCTTTCTCCTCAAAGTCCTCCATGAATATATCGGTGACAATGGGAGATACAGGTGAGCCCATCGCCATTCCATCTACTTGCTTGTAGAACTCCTCCTTCCACGATAGGTAGCCAGATAAGGCAGTGTCTGAGGGCATGCTGTTTTCCTCTAGACTTTTAGTAACAATCGAGATGCACTCTTCAACAGGTAAGCATGTGAAGAGAGACTGCACATAAAAACTGAGCATAGTTTCATTGTCTGCCAGATGTAGGTCTTTAATCTCGCTAACAAAGTCGTAGGAATCCTTTGTGTGTGCTCTTATATGTCCCTTGAGCGGTGAGATTATATTCGCTATGATAATCTTCTATATATAAGAAGAGCCTGAGCCAACCTGTAAGTTGGTGAATCGATTTGGCTCACTATGGGACGTAGTGGAGCATTGGGCTTGTGCATTTTTTATTGTATATTTGTGTGATAAAGACAGAAGAATCTAGCCATTTTTTGACAGATGTTACAAAGAACATGGGTCTCCACCATAGATTGCCTCATAGGGGGGATTTTCGCCATAGTTTCCACGCTTGGCAAGCGGGTTGGCAATTGGGTTAATAGGGAGGCGCTGGCCCATCTGCTAATTTGTTTCCCTTTGACGCCGCTTACAACACCCATAGGATGATATAGCATGTAAATTAAAATGGAGATGGGCAGGCCACGTTGCAAGAGCTACAGATGGACGTTGGAGTGAGAGAGTCCTCCAATGGTACCCTCGCGAAGTACCACGGCCACGCGGTAGGCCCAGGCGCAGGTGGTGTGATGACATTGTGACCACAGCTGGCCACACCTGGATGAGACTCGCACAAGATAAACAAAAATTGCAAAAGATGGAGGAGGCCTTCACCCGCAAATGGGTACCCAAATAAATAAGAAAAAAAATATATCAATGATTAGTAAAAAAAAAAAAGTAATAATTTAAATATTATGTAATCATAACTAATCTGCTGTAAATTGATTTTCATAACATGTTATAATTAACCATTACATATTTTATTATTGTTATTATTACATATTTAATTAATGTTACTATTATTAATGGATTTAAATTGTTTAATAATGTAATCGCATTTCATTATTTTATATTTGATAATTATAAACTGTAGTTAATTGATATTTATTTTAAGGATATTATATAACGATTTATTGAGCATAATTTATAATATTTATTTATTCTAAATTCTGGCAAATTTTATATCTAAATGTTTGTTGAAGTTTTCTTTGAAGCATGATTGGTTTTGTAAATGTAAATGAAATTTTGTTAAATATTTAATTTTATGTATTTCTTTTTTGGGAAATAAAGGCTTAAATAAATAAATATAAATAAATAAATTTTATCTGACGAAGTGCGTTAAGTTAGCTTAAAATTGACACAGATATCTACAATACCCGCGAAATTACATAATATGGCCCCAGATATCATTTAAACATACTTGGAATACCTCTGCTATTCCGTAAAAAAGGGGTATTTATAATGTTTTCCCAACAGACTCGCTGTTCTTCGAATTAAAAATGTGAAAACGTAAACTTGATTTATTCACTCCAGTACGGTCGAAACCACTCTTAGTGAACTCCGTTAATGTGAAATATTTGATTTCGTCTCATCGTAAAATCTTTGCTAAATCTTAGCATTTGAAGTGTCAGTATCATCAGCTTATTATCTAAAATATATCTAATTTTATGGACGTACGGATCCCAAACAATTGCACAGTTCGACTAATGGTAATAAGTGGATGTAGTTGCTGTTAGACATCAACCATCTATTCACAATGAATCAATAATCATCAAAATATTTATTTTATACTTTTGGAAATTATTGGAGTTTATTGAAGTTTACTCCATAAAAATCGTTTAGTATGTAGCGCATGGTATGAAACATAGATGGGTAATAAAATCGAGCGTTCAAAAAAGTGAAGCCGTTATAATTTACACCATAGACTTATGGGCCTTATACACAATTGGCCATGATGGACGAATACTAGCGATCACGATCGTGTGGAGGGCATGATCGCCTATAATCGCCCATGATCGGTTATGATCGAGCGTAATCGCCGCTGTGTTGGTTTTTCAGACAATCATCAAAGAAAGTTCGGCCATGATCGTGAGCGCGTCTTCATGATCGCCGATGCTCTATAAATTTACCTTGTTTTATTTCGGTGTATAGTTAACATCCACATTTTTTGCTTATGTTTTTTCACCATTTTTTAAGGCGTACATTTAAATAATACTTATACATATAAACCAATTCAGTAAATAAATACCGGCAGCTGCAACTGTTTCAACGTCCATCTCAGACAGATGACAATACAAATATGTAGGATGCACGGTCGTGTGGGCAGCCGCACAATGATTGTGACAATCATGGCCCATTCTGTGGTTATCCATCATGGCCGATCGTGCATAGGGCCCATTAGAATATACTGACTAGTTTTCACACATTAACCTTCTCCTTTTCGTCACTCTCTCTCTCTCTCTCTCTCTCTCTCTCTCTCTCTCTATCTGTCTCTCTCTTTCTTTAACTAAATATGTGGAAAGCGTGGTGAGGTAAGCATAACAGTGTGACTACCGTCTTTATAATCTGACTTTGATTTTATACATACATGAACATTGTACCATATCAAACTTCAATTTGTGGAGTTTTAAAGATATAAAGTTTGATTTTTATTTACACATCCATTGATATTTACACAGGGTGAAGTAAATAGTTAAGTCATATATCTATTGTTCTATAATTTATGATATATATTTTATCAAATCAATATAAAAAAATATGGGTTCATTTCCTTCCTTTACCAATTGTACCTATATAATTTAAGACAACCGTTTCCAAGAGTAAACTCCAGGCACGCGTCGGAGTTGACGCACAATTTTTTAATTAAATTTTAATAGAAATTTCTATTTTTTTAATTCTAATTACTTTTCTGTTGGCATAACTAATGTCTATAGAAGTTCCAAGATAAAAAGTTGTCCAGTTAAAGGTGTCTTCGATTTTAGTGCGTAGTATTATAACAAAAAGAAGCATATAGAATCTACATTCCAATTAATACATGTCAAGGTGAAAATAATAAGAGATCCTGAGAGGTTCTATAATAACTCCTTAATGACCAAAACCAAGCAGATTTCGAGTCATAAATACTTAAATTAGTTATGTATGATATTTTTTTGTTGATCAATAAAAAAACATAGTCGCTGAATTTCCTTTTTTATAAGGTCATAAGTTATTGCCGTCGTGATTTTAGAAGAACATGGCGCATGAGTTTAATTCATATTATTTGAAAAAAAAAGGGTTAAAATTTTTTGGGGTTTTGTAAAAGATTTAATTAATGTTCCTAAGTTATAAAACATAAAGAACGCGATTTTAAAGTTTCAACAAAAGCAACATTTTTACGTGAAGTTTAAACAGTCATTATAAGTGGGACAGTTGATTTGAATTAAGTAATATAAGAGATATAAAGTAAACTGTTTCGGGAATTGTTTTTATTGTGCTGTCTAATCTCTAAAGTTATTCTGAGTTGAGCTCTGTTTTGTGTTTTCAAGTAATCAAAAAAGTAGTGAAATGTTTTTTTGTCTTTTATAATAACTTTTGTAATTAACCATATACTGAACCTAAGATAGTGTTCACAGATTTGTAACAAGTATAATTAACGTAAAATCTATATCTTAAACTGAGATTTAACAAGAGGAATTTATAGAGCAAACCGAATAAATGACGCGCAGCAGACCTGGGCATAAATCTCGTTGGCTAGGATGGCTATGTAGGAGGTTTGGTTATTTTTAAATTCTCTTGTTCTCTTGAGCGAGATGAGAAAATACCAGAATTGAAACAGATGTAAGAGGAAATCAGAGACAAAAAGTGTATCGGGAATAGTGGCTGTGGATCTTTTAAGATACTGAAGTTCCCAACATGTAGAAACGGTAGGTAGTATAGACTTAATACATTTTTGGAAGAGCTAAATAAATATAGATATGATAAGGTTTGTATTGATGAAATCCGCCATAGAACCAAAGTTACCGATATAGCCATGTTTGTAAACTGAAGCAGCCCCGAGCTAGTCACATCTGTCGTAGATGTTTCAGCTATTGAAGTAGATATGTCATGGAATGAAGATCTTGCTTGGGTCAACGTAATGGATACCCCTTAGCTAGATGGAGCGAGATAGCTTGGAGTAACTTGTAGCGTGGAGCTAAAAATCGTGTTAAGCGACGTGTTTCGCTCAAATAAAGACTTAATGCCAATTGCAGTGAATAGTTTTAGTATAACCAACTGTCATACCATGACGCAATATTTTAGGTGCAACATGAAATACTTGAAAGGAGAGGTAGGGGAGAGTGGGGTAAGACGGGGTCCTTAAGGTTTGATGTTAAATAAAATTGACCGTAAAGAGTTTTATTAATTTGTTTTATTCTTATAATCTTCTTAGATAATCAGTCTTCATTGTTAACGAGTATTTGGCAGTCTTATCAACATAATAAAATTAAAAAAAAATCAAAAAGTAGAAATACACCATTCACCCCATCATGCCCCACCCCTAGGGTAAGATGGGGTACCCCGTGGGTAAGATGGGGTACGCAGCAAACGACTATTTAGGACTGTTCACAATGTTCACAAGTGAACACGGTATCTGCATCTTCGTCGTCCACACCTGCACAGCTGCAGTGAGCCCATTTGCCGCATGCTGAACAAGCAGCCCAGCCTTCATTTGAGTCCAAATATAGGCCTTTACAATACAAACAAGGTGTATTTTCAATATCGCTGTCACTATTCTCGTTTAATGATCTATTCTTAGCCCCTTGTTTCTTCTTTGTTACTCTTTTCTTCTTAGTTGCCGGGTCTTTTCCAGATTTTTTAAGTTCCCTCAACCCTTTTTTTCTCTATTTATCCTCTTCCGCTTGTTCCTTTTTCTTAATCGTTTCTTCTAACTCATTCTTATACGGCGAAGATGTGATCACCGCGGTTTTTCCTCGTTTTCTAGTTGAGCGAGATGTTTTTGTAGTTGCTGGAAAGGGCATTATTTGCTGCGGACTTACGACACCAAATATTGATTGCTGCGGAGTTCGTGGTCTTTCGTTTAGATCGGAGTTATCGAGCCAGTAAGAACATCCTGGTTCAGGGGTTGACATTGAATTAGGTAGCACAGTAAGTGCAGTAACCAGATTAGTTGATAGTGACGTACTCGCAGAAATACTAGCGGCAGTATCAAGTCTCGACAATGTTTCTGTTTCCACTGTTACTGGCGTCACTGCTGCATCCGTCAAAGTTGCCGCAACAGAAATGGCTTCAGATATAATTGGCGCATTCTGATTATTATTTGTTGCTGGTTCTGTGGATGACGATTCCATTATCAACGAACTATTATCGCTTGCAGGTGCGTCGGATACATTAAGCTGAATATCTGTCATCAAAGATGGAGCAAAGTCGGTCTCAGAGAATACTGTTGGATCATATGGCCAAATCCCACATTTCTTAAAACCATTGACAGCTGTTGACATCGTAGACGCTTGTATGAACGCCTTTCCAAAAATTTCAGCTACTTGTCGGACAGTGACAGTCATCCCTGGGTTGCTGCGAAGCCACGCCATGATTTGATGATCGTAGTAGGTACTTAACGGTCTCATGTAAGCAACGTCTGCAACCTGAAGACGGTGAGTTGTATGTGGTGGGAAACATAAAATGATAACGCCGTGAGTGCGTGCTTCATTTATGAGATCAATGTTCTTCGTATGAGTACTATGTCCATCCAATAATAACAAAACAGAATGCTCAGGTGTTGCTCCGCTAAATTTGACGAACTTTTTAAACCAATCTAGGAAAAGTTCTGAAGTCATCCAGCCCGAATCACTGCAAACTCCCCAAGCTCCGGGGGCAGCATTAATCATAAGTTGCGCATCCATTCTTTTTCTAGGATATACCATCATGGGTGGCATAAAATTACCACTAGCACTAAAACAGATTTCTACTGTAATGGTCGTACCTCGTTCAGCAGATGTTATGGCTCCCACTTGCTTTCTGCCCTTTCTTGCGACAATTTTTGATTTGGTTTTGGGCACAACTGAAATACCAGTTTCATCGCAGTTGTATATACGATCAGGTGTTAGATGATGTTCATCGTAAACATTGCCCAAAAAATTGAAAAACTGGTCTACCACCTGTTTATTGAAACCAGCAGCACGTGCGGATGAGGTACTTTCAGGCTGTCTAATAGACAGTTCTGGGTGCCTTTTTAAAAATCCTAATGCCCAGTCTTTCCCGGCTTCTTCTTTTTCATTGTTAAACGGATGACGTTTGTTATTTTTTACCGCTAGTCTATAGACTAAACCTCTTAAGTCTTTCATTGTCAGTCCATAAAGCCTACTCTCCATATCTATTATGTATTTACATAGCTCTTCCTCTTCATTATCAGTAAAAACTTTCTCTTTTGGGCCTAACGGTACCTTAAATTTAACAGTCATTGGATCATTCTTATCTAAACTTTCTCGCGCAAGCTTCACTTTCCTTTCTAAAGTTGTTTGTGGGACAGAAAATGATTTTGCTGCAAGCTTGTAGCCAATTTTTCCTTCAACCACATTTTTCACAGCATCTTTCATACTTTCTTCTGACCAATCCCCTCTACTTGTTTTTTTTTTATAATTTCTCACCATTCTAGAACAAAATACACAGTAAATTAGACATTTATACGCCGCTTGCAAAGGCTAAGGGGCAAGATGGGGTTCCCGACCGACCGACCGACCCTATCTTGCCCCCGCATGCCGAATCAAATTTAAAAAAATACTTAATAAAACCAATACGCAGCACAGAGAAAAACAAGTTCTTACCTGTTAGTGTAGTTATTGTCACATTTGATACCATTTAAATCAATTCCGAGGTGTTATTATTTACGGAAATTACACGCCCTATATAGTATAGAAAAATCACTAGCTATTTGTCAAAAAAGTTTTTTCCAGAAAACAAATAAAACGCGTGGAGTCTTTGTCCGCTCACTTCGATGACTGATTGCCGTAATGGCGGCGCGACGTCAGCTGCTAAAACGATCCTGATTGGCTATTTCGTTCGCGCTCAAGATCGGTCACTCCGTCTTGCCCCGCACCCCGTCTTGCCCCACTCTCAAAGGAAAGGTTAGAAAAAATAAACAATTCCAAGGGAGAGGATATTTAAATGAACTTACATATCTATATTATCTTTCGGTATTATGGGTTAATTATTTGAATTATTTAATAAAACTATGTAGTATCGTGTTTCGTTATCTTGATACATAAGCGCATTTAAAGCCACGTCCTTTGCTGCTATAACTTTTATTACTGTAATAATAAATAAGTAGGTTGTTGTGATTACTTTAATTTTCCCAAAGCAAGTAAATTTTATTTTTTATAGGAGAGGGGGCAAATGAGCATGCGGCTCACCTGATGGTAAGTGACTACCGCCGCCCATGAACAACTGCAACACCAGGGGAATCGCAGTAACGTTGCCGGCCTTTTAAAAAGGAGTGCGCTCTTTTCTTGAAGGTCCCTAAGTCGTATCGGTCCGGAAAAATCGCTGATGGTAATCGATTCTACAAGGAGGTCGTGCGAGGAAGAAAACATCTTCTAAATCGCACAGTGGTGGACCGCCAATCATCCAGATGGTGTGGATGGTATCGGGAGTTTTGCCGCGATGAGCGCTCGTGAAATTTGGCGGCTGGGATTAATCCAAACAATTCCTCAGAAAAATTAAATTAAATTATTGATTCTACTCTATTTTTTATTTTTTCGTTTGTTAACTTTGTATGTTAAAAACCTAACCAGATCCAATGATAATTAAAAAAGATACCTACGTGGAGCAGCGGCTTAGTATTGAGTAGTGTCGCTGAGTGCCGCGGGTTTTCAACACGACATCTATTAGAACTGGAACAACCATTTGTGTAGCCAAAAACAAAAAATAGTTTTTGACAAAAAACCGCATTTGAATGATTGTACTTAAGCAATTTATGTATGCAAACTATACCTCTTCAAGGAATGACTTTCTGTTAATCTAACTATTCCGTCACTCCAACTCACAACACACATCATCAAATTAGCAAAATCAACATCCTACGTAGGTAATTAATTTCGTGTTTCATTAAAGTACATACAAGCCTGTGAAGCTAGTGAGTCAGTGAAGCTATTGAAAAAAGCAACAATAATAACAAAAGAAAAAAAATAACTTCAAAGAAAAATCCGAAAAAGCTGAAAAACTTTTGAAATAAACCCTGCGGTGTTTGTGTTTACTTTACATTCGTAAAGCGAAACCCTACGTGTTTCATTTTACCTTTTAATATTTTTTATGCTCGCCATAATATTTTGATTTGTACCTGAATTCAACAAAGTAGTGTGCAGTGCGATGCAGTTTTAATTGGGACAGTATGCTTACTAATCTGAATGGCTTGAAATTAAGTTTTATTTCTATCCATACCCGCAGACTGTCGCTTTTCAATTTAAAAAACCGAGTTCGCAGTTACAGCAAGTAACACAATTACCCCTTCATTTATGGCTTATGCGGTTTTTTACCCTCTTCTTTTTCATTTTGATTCCACAAACATTTTCAGCGCGTTATTCGTCGCAATGTTACTACAAAATACAGCCGGTCCTCAGACCGTAGCAGATCATTGTGCCTCGCTATAAAATTTTCAAGTTGCGGTTAAATACGTCTGCTATAAAATTTTCAAGTTGCGGTTAAATACGTCTGGCGTAAACGAGATAAATTAAAAAGCAGATTGCGTTATATTTATCTTATCAGACGTAAAATAAGACCGACGACGGGGAGCAGCATCAAAGCTGCGATACTTCTGCTACTACGATCATCAGCCCGCCCACCAAGCGTGTCGATTAAGACAAACACCTTTACGTTATATAGTTTTAATCTATACAAATAAATAAAATTGAAGTGTCTCTTTGTAATGTCAAAATAACAGCTTTTCATTAAATGCATATGAAAGTAAATACGGTGTTAATAACAAAAACACAATTTTAAAAATTTAGTCCATCTTTTTGTCTGTCTGTCTGTTTGTTTCGGCTAATCTCCGAAACGGCTAAAACGATTTCGACGAAACTTTCACTGGCAGATAGCTGATATTATAAGGAGTAATTTAGGCTACATTTATTTTAGAAAAAGAATAAGGGTTCCGCGCATAAAAAATTAAAACCCATGAAATCTAATCGTAATAAATTACACGCGAACAGCTAGTATTTAATAAATTTATAAGTAAAATTTTCATGAACTCTAAATCTTAAACTTACCATGACAATTTTGGAAAGAGACGACAGAGGAGAAACCAGCAAAGTTTTCCTAATAATAACTAAAATAAAAAAAAAAAACAACGGTTGCCTACCCACCTGATAAGTGTGGCAACTATGGAAAATATTTCCCCTATGAAGCAATCTATTGGAAGGCCTATATTAAGAAGTGCATTTTTAGTTGGTTGTAATGGTAACGGATTGATATACTTTGGGTGTTTAATAGAACGTTGATGTTTTAAAGGTGTTCGAGTGGGCTATCCACCGGGGAAGTATAATATACTCACCCAAACAAGAAGAATACGAAGAACACCCGAAACGAAGAATTGATATCTTTGCCATTCGTGGAATATGAAGGTTTATGGGTGTTGGAGGGCATTTTTTATTATTTGAGCTTCTTGCTCGTTTGCTCTCCCTTCGATTAAGAAAGGCTAATCGAGAGAAATTTTTATCGTGGAATACTATGGTAAAACAAGAATAGGTTATTTTTGCTTTACCATAGAATTCCACGGTTTGCCGGAGTGGCGGTGGGGGACGTGGGGCTGAGTCAATCTCGGCTGCCTTTTTGGGGGTTGCACGTTTGCGCTTTTTGCCCTGAATGAGGATAAAGTCCTCATTTTCGAGCTTGAACGGGGCACGCGTCTCGGTCTCCATGCCGAAGACTAATTCGGCATCCGAGAAGACTGGAGAGGGGCCGCAGTCAGACATCGTGGAAGGCGCGGGGGACACGGGTGTAGTGGGTCCGGTACTCGACGACAAAGCGTCGTCGATCCGTACGGTCGGACGATCGACAGGGGGCCAGACACGTCGGGTAATGGAGGTGGCTGGAGGTGCTGACTTGGGCGCGAGATCGAGCGCAGGCGCGGAACGTGCATTGATGCAACAAACTACACAAAAATTAAAACGATGACTGCCTCTGAGGCGGCGGGTGTGTGTTTACTCTACTTACGGTTATCAGAAAACCAGGAAGAAGGGTTTTGCACAAAACACATTTGATACAACAACAAGCGTCTGATACACTTCACAACAACACAGTGAGACTGCTGTCTCCCGGGACAGCGTGTTTCGCGCGCCTCAGTGAGAGCACCAAAGCAGTGACCAAACATAAAAACATCAAGTAAAGTAATCCTTAGTTCTTACGCTTTCCTTGAATTGTATATACCAGACAGTCGTTACTAAGAAATGTTAATTTAATGAGATAGTTTCGAGAGTATTTCGTAACAGTGCTGTGCCTACAGAATGTTACGGATCAGAATGTGCAAGTTATGTCTGTAATATGTCTTCTCTTCATTTCGGATTTGATTAATGTATTTTCATATTATTGATAAACTAGTACTGCTGTGTGTTTATGTGAGAATAATTCTAGTTTTAATTTTAGCCCACATTAATACAATATTTCTTGCAGTGTGGTTGCAATGTCTGCACAGTAGATGTACGGGCCACAGTTTGCGATTTGTACAGCTTCTTTGATATTTATTTTTGTTGATATAGTTATGTACTTTAAAGTTAGTTTGAAACAATAGGACGCCAGTTTGAGTGGCGTACAAAGTTCGCACATGTGTTGTTACTTTAACAATTTATTACACACACTAAGTTTGAAATGAAAAACGGTGCATTATAAATAATTCGCGGCGCCGCGTCAGCATACAATAATAAATGGTTTTTGGACCGTAAAATAAACAAGACGAGAAGAGAGAAGAAAATATTATTACACACATGACTGTTGTAACAATATAATAAAGGAGGTTGTAGTTGTAGGCAGTAGAGCTTTTTGTGGCTGAAAAAGTTAGTGTTACTTTCTACCACGCTGCAGCTATTTGTAGTACGGTGTAGGTATAGTGTACGGTTGTAGCACGAATGGGTTGGTTAGACCGGGGTAGGATCACGCTCACAGAATACCAGCGTAAAGTGTATTGTTTTCGTATAAAATATAAATTATTATTGTTAACATATCAAATTTAATGTGTTTATATTTAAATGTACATTTATGTATGATTGAGTGAGTTTTAATTGTAATTCTTATTTCGTTAGTTCATAAATCATAATTATGCAATCTACATACATTATTATCTTTCCATTGAGCACATAGTGGGGATAACTTCTTGTTTCTGTGTTAATACATGCAAGATGAATCCGGTGGCATGGAATGTTAATTATATCTCTCGGGTAGCTATTTTGTATTAGTGATTTTACATCCAATTATTTTTTTTATATAATAGTGTATGTGCTTATATATTGTGCTCGTTTTAATGTTGATTTTGTCAACAAAATCTGTTTGTCGACCGACACAGAAATTATTATCGAAAAAACTATAAGTTTATTTTTATTTCAAGTTATTGGTCAATACAGATAAGGGTTAAATAGTAACAAAAAGAAAAAAAAAATGTTTTGTC